ATCAGATGCAAGTATCGGATGTTTTAAGAAACCGAAGCTTCGAGAAATCGTGATTCCGCTGTACTTCAAATATCGCGGCTAAATACCTCATTAAATCCGTTCACAATGCTTTCCGTTTGTTCCGCAACTCCGCGTTCCACCCGCCATCTGACCATCTGTTCCACGTATTCGTGCTTATTTCTTTCTGTTACTTCGATGTTCTTACCGTCTGGAACCAGTTCTCGCTCGGTTACCTGTAAAACAAACGCAAAAATGAATCCGAAACCAGCACGCTTTGGAAGGATGAGATACGACATTTGACGCGAAAATATGCACAACCCAAGGCCCGTCTCTCGAACACCATGGAAGTTACTTGTCCCGAAGTGCTGTTGTTTTGTTGGCCGAGTTTACATCCAAGAACGAAGCGTTAACAGCTTTGATATTCAGACAATCAGCTTGACATATCAGACGACAAAACGAATAGAGGGTTTCCTTTTTAGCCAGGACCACTACTGCTACTGGCCCGCACGGTTACGGAGACTTTCAAGAAACGGGATTCGGGACTTTAACCCAGACCTCTCCATTCGAAGTCTAGTGAGTGAAACATCAGCCCACTAACTATCTTAAATTGGTAAAAAGAGTCGCTTTCACCTCACCACATGCAGTTAGTACTTCCGAAAGGAAATTAAGTTTGTCTTTACCTGCCCAAAAATCTCCTCACTGACAGTGAATGACAAATCCAGAACCCCCGTGATATCATTCTCCGCAACCCATGTCATGCTTTGATGGAAGAGCGAGTCCATTGCTTCGACGTCACTGAGATCACAAGGGCTGCAAAAATTCAATTACATTTAGTATCAACATTCTTAAAGATGATAAAAACGTCATAAGTAAAACCATTTCACCTTGACTCAAAGAAGGAGATTTTGTCGAATTGAATCTACCACTAACTTCGTGACACAGCAGTACCGAATTTAAGTTCCTCTGGTAAGACACATTTCTCTGGTAATTTGCAAGTATCCATTGACCGGTAATAGGTTTCTATTCATACCAGCCGGCTCGATCAATCTTCCTGGCTCATTTTCAGGGATCTGCCTTCCAAAATCTTTCCTTTGTAAAACTCACAATCATAAGGCGGGCTTACCAGGTCACCAAGATCTTGGTTATTGCGACCGAGATCTCGGTTAGCAGGATGCCAAATTTTCTTATACGAATACCCCTGCTCTGTTGACGGACCGAGACTGAACAGCCGTGCACTATTCATCTCGGTAACCGAGCTGAAATTTCATATAGAAAACCGCGTTTTTCCCGCTAGCTGGCCAGTCCCGGCTATCAAGCCGACGTAAAAGACACTGGTTCATTACTTACCTTCTCAGCAAGGCTTTGTAAAAAGGTCTGGTGAAAAACGCATCCAACAGGTGCTGATGTATGATGACAAGACCAATAATTCGCCCACAAAAACGGTACCTAAAAACAAAGCCTCTTTTACCTCACATGATAGAAAAATACCTTCTTGATGAGCTCTGTAGTCAACGATACTTGGGGGTATGTATCTGAAAGTTTGTGCATGTGTGCTCAAAGGGACTTGTATTATCACCACACATTTAGCGGAGAAAAATAATGCACTTCGTTTGTCGAAATCAAACAAAGTGTTATGGCTATGAAACTATGTTCCTGCAATTTTGTTTAGATAACCCTTTAACTCCCAGCGGTTACTGGAATGTCGTGAAAAAAAGGGGGAGGTGGTTTTAATGCACGCGAAGCCCAGCGCATGCCCCCACTAAGATTTCTCACAACCTCTGCAAACTTCATTGACGCACGCAAATCCTCTTTGCAATCTTAACAATCTTTAGTGTTTCCGTAATAGACTCGTGACCAGGTACTACTGTCTTCAAGAAAACAGTCCTACATCATACATGTAATGTCTCTCCCAGGGTGATCCTAAAGAAACGATTTGTAAAGAGATTAAGACACTGAATATCTTGCCTCCTTAATTCTATACGCTGACTAAGCGATAATTCTGCTTTGAAAAGTGTAGAAGGTGGGGCGTGGAAGGGGGAACTTCCTGGTTCAAATTTTCGATAGGAAGGCCAGTCCCACCCTGTTCTACCGCCTCCATATCCACTCTGGCCAACGACTTTTTGCAGGCTCCTGTCTAATCGACAAGAATTTCGAAATAAACAAAAAACGAGTCAAACTAAAGAGAAGTGACCCTTTAAAAAATCGCGTACGCCCAAACACAGAACAAAAATCAACGCCACTCACCACTCGTGTGAGTTGTCCACATAAAGCGACACTGGGCTGACTTGAACAGTGTAAGTGTCGTTGGCAGAATACTCAAACAGACCATAGTATGGATTAAATACTTGACGGGACAAAAGAAAAAAGAATTCCCTCGCTGGTCCACCATAGTCCAAGCTTAAGAGGAAGATAAAGGAGAGAACTTTAAGGAAAGGGTGGCTTTTGAACGGAGCCGGGGAGAAAGGTGTACACTGAAATCAAACTCCTGATTCTTTTACCCAAATGTGCCCCTCGATTGGTCTGGAAAACCCATGTCAGCCTCTCGACCTATCAAATTCAAAGTTTGAACCATCGCGACCTGTCTACCCGCCTTGTGTCCGCGCGTCAGGCAATTTGTTTGCCTTTGCTTGGTGTTCAGTGGCTCTCTTTGAAAAGCTCTTCATTGTAATTGGCTGTTGTGATTACTTTGCTTTGGCTGCGTGACTCTCTGATTCAAACACGACGCACTCAGAAGCGATTTCATGAAATCTAGACGGTGTATTAGTACGCTATTCTATTGTTTATCAGCATAACGTTGCTAAGTTGCCCTAAAAAAATATAACTGTGTCTGGTATACAATCTATGTATGTACTTGGTAATTCAACCAGAGAAGCTCATTACTTGTTATTCCTATCTTCAATACTCTCCCGCGATCTAGCGAATACCACCATTCCCATTAGCTTACTACATCTGCTGCTTGATATCTATTACCAAAGCTAATCAAAACATCGAATTAAACCATTTCAACTCCAGTTGAACTCAACTTGTACCGCAAACAATGTGAAGATGAATTCTTACCCTTCCTCTCCGGCGAACTGGATCTCTAAGCGGTTCCTTTGGAGCGCTCTGGCAGGCTCTTTCATGATTTGGTCATAAGCGTCCTCCAAAATATGGTCCCTTCGTATACTCAATCTGTCAATAGACGGGACATTTCAAATACTAAAACTAGTATATTAATACAATTCTTAAAAATTAGGCTGTACATTGGATTTTTGCCGTGGCACGGTCACATAACAGCTCTGAACGTATTTCGAATTGGAATTTGTAGTAATCGTTTGGGTGCAGAGAGACGGAAGCGAGCGCTTTTGCAACCACGCCATCGCTGCTCCCCCGAATGTGATTCCACGTCACAAGTTACCCAGTTTGACTGAGGCACTGTGAGAGTGCAACTTTTTATCGAGAAGTACTCAAACCCAGACCGGAAGTAGTCAAACCCAGCCCGGAAGTAGTCAAACCCAGCCCGGAAGTACTCAAACCCAGCTCGGAAGTAGTCAAACCCAGCTCGGAAGTAGTCAAACCAAGCCCGGGAGTGCTCAAACCAAGCCCGCTTGATCAGATTCCCCTTACTGCACTAATTCTTAGTACTAAACCAACGCAGCCCACAAAGAATAGTGAAAAGCATTTCATTCCTCCTTAAAGTATCACTTTTAGGTCATGAGAATTAAAGGAAATGATCGATGACAAAAGAAGCCCCCACGTGCCGTAAAAATCTCCTCGTTAGCACTATAAGTAATTTAGAAAACAGTGAGGAGAAATGAATACTGTTCTTGGGGTGTCAAGGGTTGAAAGGCTTTGAATATTGAAAATTGAGTTCAAGTTAAGCTTGCCATTTTTTTTCTCTTTATGTCGTTCGAAAGGGTTCACCGAATTCAAATCATTTTCAGTAAATGGTGTACATGTTTTGTCCAAATAACTTACTTGATTTTATTAGGTCCTTGCCCATAACCTTTGTGGTAGAGCTGACGATGAAAAGAGCGAACTTTAGCCTCGAAGTCACGTTTGTACGGCGCGGGACTTGAACTGGCAGTGGAATCGCCGATCGCTCCTTTTAGTGTGCTGTCTGTGTTGGCTCTTGACCGAGTTCCGGGAGTAGCCTGGGGACTAGGCACGTGACGCGAAAACGTGGAAAATTGAGGGGTTGATTCAGTTGTTTGTTCGACTTCTGGGGGGACATACGCGACGATGCTCTCTTCCATCACACTGCAACGTAAATGAAAATTCTAACAAGCCATGCAACAACAAATAAAAGAATTAGTCTGATCACAGGCCGAAAGGCTCATCCTAATTTCACCTGCATTCATTAAGCTGCCTTGACAGTTAAATAGTACCTCTTTGAACCTCTTGATGAGGAAAGGAACCGCAAGAGTCCCCCCCCCCACCCGAAATAGTGACCCAGCTATCCTCACGCTAGCTGTTCCTCTAAATCAATGACACTCCATTGAGTCAGTTCACAGGTATTGACAAAGTAGAAAGTACTACGTAAAAGTGCTACAATTCCTGACAACTTTCACTGTGTGTATCTGACCCACATCGTAAAGAAAACGCTGGCAAATAACCAGGTCGTTAAGTTTAAAGCTATCGCTTTTTAAGTTTCAATGAATGTAGTGGGTGCTTTTGGGTAAAAATTATATCCTTTGTGAAGAGATCTATGGTGATGGACCATTTCCACGTTATGTAAGCTCTTGGATTACCTAAAAGTCCTTATCAAATGCCGTGTACTTTCAAAACACAATACCTGAGCAGCATTATGAAGTCTAAATTATTGGAAAGTCGTGCCAAGGCCCTCTCTCCCTCAGCCTGTACTTTTCTTACATTAGCTCTGAAAAAAAGGGATCATTAAGTTACCAGCAAACAGCCATTAAGACAAAGATAAATTGAGGCATCCAACATAAAGTACTCACTTTAGAGTGGGGCTTCTAGCATACCCCTGGTACTTCGTTTTGAGAATATCATCGATGTTTGGTTGGGACAAGAATGCAACAACTTGCTGGTTGTAAGCTACGTAAAAGGAAAAACAAAATGATAAAAAAGGATTAACCTTTTAACTTTCACAAGTGATTAACATGTAACTTTTCCCTATAACATCCACTAGTTATCCAGAAAACAGTTAATGAGAATACTCAAACTTATCAGGCTGAAGTTGTCGTCTTGAACTAACACCAAATTCTACTTTTATCACGTTATCTTACAAACACGTGACCACTTACTCATTGGAGTTGAAAGACTGCTTTGTCGTCCCGGTGCTCTCGGTGGAGGAGGCCTGGGAGGAGGAACGCGCGCGCGTCGAGGCTGTAAGAAGGCGGAACACAGTATTAACACGAGGTACTAATTGGGCTGTCTTCGATCATAAATTTGTGCGAGCATTGTTTGATTGACCTTTGATAAACTAACAATAAAATTGTCAAAATGGATATGCAGAAACAATCAGAACTCAAAGTAAATGCAAGAAAAATAAATAAATAAATGTGCGAAAACGCAAGTGACCATAACACGATTGATTTTAGTATTCCTTGGCTGATATTTTTCCAACGAAATACCAAAGAAAATGTTAAAAATGTAGTTAGTACAGCAACATACCTCGGTTTCTGAACGGTTTCTCCTCGGTAAGGTTTCTTCCACGGGAAGTCGCGGATCAATGAAAGTTGTCGTTCGTGAATTATGGTCAATGAAGTAAAGCTGAATACAGGAGAAACACAATGCTCAAAAAAACGTTCTATGAGCTTTACAAGGTAATTTTGGTTTTATCTTGACTGAGTTGAAAATGTAAATTGGCCACCGTAAAGAAGTTCAAAGCTGACGTGTCGTGAGTTAGCCTTTGGTCTTTCGTTCTGACGAAGAGTTATATATACTACATAAACCAAGTACACTAAGTAATAATAATAATATAGTATTTCTGACCGCTTGCAGCCTAAGGCTGAATTACGGGTGCAGTTTAAGGTTGAAAACAGACGTCAGCATATCAGGCGCCTCTGGCAGCCGCTTCAGTCCATCGATCTCACCTTCCCACCCATCCCACCCAGGGGAGGACATCCAT